GGCACTTCTGCCCCTGCCTTTTGGGCATTCCTAGGGGGCAGCAGGAAGAGGGGGTGGCTCCTGCCTCTCCTCCCATCCCCTCACTCGCCCTCCATCATCCCAGGGCATTGAGTTAGGGGGTTTGAATGAGGAGGTGGTCTGTCGTCTGTCGAAGGAAGGCAATCTTCTCCTCCAAGCAGCTTCACAGAGGGCCCTGCAACCCCCCACCAGCTTCATGTGCCTGGCTCAGCGGGAGCCGGGCAGAAGGCCCAGCCGCCTGGGAAAGGCAGCCAGGCAAAGTGCTGGGAGCTGCTGGAGCAAGAAGGGGCCCCCTGCCCTCCCTGAAGCCCTGGGAGGCAGGAGCAGCAATCTGGTGGCCTGCAGGGGTGAGGAGGGCCCAGCCAAGGAGTCTGAATCCCACCCCAACACTGGCCTCTGGCTGCACAGGCCCAGCCAGGAGTCGGGTGGGTAGATGACAAGGGAAGCCCACCTGTGCAGCAAGACCAGGGGGCTGGAGGAAGAAGGCAGGGCAGGGAGCCCCAGACACAGCATGCTGGGGTGAGGGAAGGCCGCCTGTTAGGACTGAAGCTCCTGCCAGCCACCTCCAGGCCTGGGCGGTGCCTTCCAGCTCCAGGAGGCAAGCCTGGGCAGGGTGGAATCCAGACCATCTGTCCCCAGGGCCACAGAGACACAGAGCCATCAGGCCTGGGTGCTGAGAGAACGGAAGGAGGAGGGGACAAGAACACTCGTTCTCTGCCCCTCGACTTGACTGCCACCCAGCCTCAAGTCTCCCAGCCTGCCCCAGGGGCCCAGGCAGTTGCCATTGCTCCAAAGGCCAGGCCCGGTGCCCGGCTCTGGACAGGATCGAGGTGGCCTGCCTGCCAGACCTCGCCCTCCGAGGGCTCCCCCACAGCTCTGCTGGGAGTGGGGTGAAGGGGAATCGGGTGTTAATTTGCTAATTCGAAAAGGAGCATAAACAGCGGGGTTCGGTGGCAGAGCTCTGCTGAGGGTGGAGTTTAAGCCCAATTATGTGCAATTAGTGCCTTTGCTCTTTGTTCCTGCGGCATATTAATTGCAGATCTGGTATTGTGGCAATTAACACAATTCCGGGCCCTCTGTTTTCCTGCAGGACACAACCCACACGCCTTCGGGTGAGGAGGTGGGCTGGCGAGACCCAGGGAGATGCCCTCCTGGGGAGAATGCCCACTGTTCCGGGTTGGCTGTGTCTCCCCAAAAGTCCTGTGTTGAAGTCCTAACCCCCAGTACCTCAGAGTGTGATCCTATTTGGAGATGGGGGCTTCACAGAAGTAATCAAGTTAAAAGGAGTCCACCAGGCCCAAACCGCTGTGGCTCAGTTGGCTGGGCCAGTTCAGTTTCTGGTCTGGGCACATGCCTGGGTTGCGAGTTCGGTCCCTGGTCAGGGTGTGTGCAAGAGGCAACTAATCGATGTTTCTCTCCCTTCCTTCCCTTCTCTCTAAAAATAAAGGGGGGGGGGGAATGAGGCCATTAGGGTGGGGCCTGATCCAGTACGACTAGTGTCCTTATAAAAAGTGGAAATGTGGCCATCTGGGAGGAAGACGGCAGGAAGAGATGAGGGAGAAGGTGGCCACGTGCCTGGAGCCGAGTCCTCAAAAGGAACGGCCCCGGCCCACACCTGGAGCTTGGAGTTCCGCCTCCAAAACCGTGAGGCAATAAATTCCTAATGTGTAAGTCACCTATGCTAATTTGTTAAGGAGGTCCAAGCAAACCCAGAGACCTAGCTGTGTCCCAGGATGGGATAGGACGGGCACAGAGAGGAGGCACCGTCGCTGCTGTCTGTTCAGAAGTCTCTAGAAGGGATCAGCAGCCATGGCCGGCTCCTCCCTCCCTCCAGGCACCTCTTCCCCAAGGCTCTCATCAATGTCACTTCCCAACTTTGGCCCCTGGACCTTTATTCCCCAAGGCACTGCTGCTGGATTCCTCCTGCCCCCTACGCCCATCTCTCATCAGTCACCTGGCCCGGCCAGTCCTGGGTGTGTCCTGTCCTTTCCCTTCATCTTCCTCTAGCCTTTTACCGTAGAAGGTAAAGAGCGTACATGTTATTCTCCAGGTTAAACCAGTTGTAACGGTCAGGCATCTGCCCAGTGTTGTACAGCTTACAAGATATTTATCAAAGACCTGTTCTCATTCCACACTTAGAACAACCCTCTGGGGGGGTAGTATTCTCACCCATTCCACAGATGGGGCAAACTGAGGCTTGGAGGAGTCCCACGTAAGTAGCAAGGCTCAGACTTGAGCTCTGATTTTGTATCTTGTGCTCTTTCTCCACGGCAGCAGTTCTCACAGGAGGTTCCCCAGAACCCTTAAAAAAAACTGAGGCATTCTGGAGTCCAACAGATGAGGGGAAAGCGAAATGAAGCGATGTCTTTACTGCAAGACTTCTCAGTGACTCTAGAAGAACTCGTACAACAGGAGGCATTTTATAGACTCGGTTTACTTTTGAGGGACACCCACCTTTCCAGGCAGGGCTGCGTGACACCACAGTGCCACTGTAGGATGGCACAGGTCTCCTTGGGTGAGATGGAAATTTGGATGTTAATGAGCAGGTTCCCTTCCTGTCCCTGTTCTCCACCTCCCCCATGCCAGGCTGGCTGACCACCCAGTTTGGTGTGACCCTGGGATTTCTCACATGCTGGGGTTCAGCCAGCACCAGAGCCTGGTGGTGACAGCTTGTCCCTGATCACACTTTGGACACCTTCTGCTTCCGCTGTATGTGGTTCTAGTGGTCATCACACTTGCAATAGCCTGCCTCTCCCTGGCCACGAGGAGATATGACTAAATCCCTGGCCACTGTGATTGGCTCAACAGGTGGTACATCACCCAAGCAGAGCCAATCAGAGACTGCCCTGGGAGTGTTTGGGGCACTGAGAGAAAGAACTTTCCTTCCACTGAAGCTGCTGGGAGCTGTGTTCTGCTGTCCGAGGAGGTCAGTCTGAAAGGAGATGATGAGACCAAAAGGCAAAATTGAGCAGAAACAGGCAGAGATGGAAGGACCTAGAGGGAGAGAATGTTCTAGAAGCATCCAGGCTCCACCTCCAGTCCCTGAGGCTCTGGTTCCTGCCAAATTGCCTTAATCTTATGAACTACCCTCAGAGCCTCCCCCATGACCTAGGCCAGTTGGAATTTGGTTTCTGGTGCCAGGAGGCCAAAAAGTTCTGCCTAATACAAGTCCCCGAGCCTCTTCAGTAGCCCAGAATCGATTAACCTGCCAAGACAGGCCTAACAAAACTGTGGAAATGGGTGCCACACAGGTGCCAGAGCTCCCCCCCCCAAACCTGCCCTGAGGCCTCAGCCAGAGGAAGAGAGATGATGTCCTTTTCTCCACAGGGCCCAGGTTTCCTTGTTGTCAGCACGATTTTAGTTCAGAAAATGGGGTCACAGTACCTGTAGGCGACAGAAGGCTCAGCAGAAGAGCCCACTCAAGGTCAAGGTTATTCATTCATTCATTCAACAAGCCTTTACCAAAAGCCCACAGTGTGTCAGGTACGGGGGACACAGCAGTGAGGAAGGTCGATGGGGTCCCTGACCCTACAGGCTTACCTTCTACTGGGAGGCTCGAGAGAGAAATAGGCAAAGAAAGAAATTCATCAATAAGGGTATTTCAGATAGAGAAAATAATCAGGAAAATGAGAAAGAGCATGTCAGAGAGTGGAAAGCAAAATAAGGTGATCAGTAAGAATCTGGATTTGAATGTTTGTGTCTTTCCTCCTCCCAAAGTCCAATGTTGAAACCCTCCCCTGCCCCCCCACCAGCAACGTGATGGTACTTGGAGGCGGGGCCTGTGGGTGCTTAGGTCATGAGGCCGGAGCCTGTGGATGGGATCCCGTTCTTCTGAAAGAGGCCGCACAGAGCACCCTGCCCCTTCCCCACACTAGGACACTGGGAGAAGTCGGCATCTGCAATCTGGAAAAGGGCCGTCACCAGCACTTAACCTGCTGGCGCCCTGATCTTGGTCTTCCAGTCTCCAGAACTATGAAGAATACATTTCTGCTGTGTACGAGGCGCCCAGTCTGTGATATTTTGTTATAGCATCATGGATGGGCCGAGACAGGGGTTGGCATTTGAGCTGACGTGAGCAACTCGAGGAGGCAGCCACGTGGAAGAATGTTGCAGGCAGAGTGGGCAGCAAGCGCAGAAGCCCTGAGGCAGTGGCTGAGGCTCAGCACGTCTGCGGGGCCAGAGGAAGCCAGAGGCTGGTGCACAGAGTCGGGGAGGCGGGGGCTTGGTACACGAGGTCCACAGAAGGCAGGTCACCCAGACCTTGGGCTTCCCGCAAGAGGGAAAGGAGATTTTATCCGAAATGCCAAGGGCAGCCAACGGCAGCCGCTGCCTTGCAGGGCCCCAGGGGGCAGCCTTACTTGTGTTTTCTCAGGTCCCAGAAAAGCAGGTGACTCCCAGGCACAGCCTGTCAGGGAGGCTCATCGACTGGGAGCTGCCAGGATTCTCCAACACTGAGACCCTCGGGCACAGCAGGGCAACACTCTTCCTCACTCACTCTCGGACTGGCCAGGGGCTCCGCCAGCACCCAGACGGAAGGGGCAGCCGCCTCTGGAACGTGACCGAGCGGATTTGAAAGCTTCCACCTGAAATGGCCCATTCACATTCCTCTGGCCAAACAAGTCAGGGCAGCCACACTCAACCGGAAAGAGGGGTGGGGGGAAGTCTCACTCCTTCCGGATGCCCAGAAGGTAGAGAGCTGGGAGTGTTCGGGGAGGAGCACCAATGGCTTCCACACCCTGTTTTGGAGGGAAACTGAGGCTCAGAACCACGGACAGAGTTGCCCAAGGTTCCCGGCAGAGCGAGCTGTAGCACCCAGGCCCTGACCGAGGTCAGCCCTCAGCCTGTGGTGCCCCACCCCCTCCCCACACTCACCTTCTGCAGCAAGACCTGCAGGAGCTTAATCTCATAAGCTTCTCCAGCCTTCCGCACACAAACAGGAGCTTATCCTCCCTGCATCTTGGAGGAGGGTCAAGGTACTAGGACACCCACCCTTGCCCTTTCTCCACCCCACACTCCAGACAAACGTCTGGGGCCCTGAAGAGATCACACAGCCCAGAGGGGGTGGCCTGAGTGAGGGCTGGCAGCTGCCTACCCAGCGCCAGCAGGAACCCCCAGGCCGGATGGGTTACAGTGTGGCTGGGCCCGGGTTGCCCTGACCTGACCGCCCCACGCCCACCCCCACCACCGCCGCAAATGTTTCCTTCTTCAGGAGCAGTTTCCAGCTTCCATCTCCCTCCGTCTGACTGCTGGGGAGGAGCCAGGGACCACCGCCCAGGTGGACGCACAAGCCTCCGCCGGCCGCCGTCCTGACTGCCCAGCGCAGCTGCAGAGGGTGGGTCGGGAGAGATTCACCCAGAGAAAAGCTCACTGACTGCCTTCCCCTGGGTGGCTGGGCCACCCCTGAGACAAGCTCCCAAAGGGGCAAGCAAGCCAGCAAGGGATGGTCTGGCGTGAAGGGGTTGGTGGACAGGCACAGCCAGCACCCCCTGGGCCTGCCAACAAGACTCTGGGCAGAGTCTTGGGGGGCTGGGGGGCTGCACAATAGGCCTAGTCAGGGGTGGCCCAGAGAGGCTGCCTTCTGCGGAAACGGTGGAGAGAGGGAGAGGCCGGCCCCCCGGGGGGGCCGTCCCCCCTCCCCCAGGGCCAGGCCCCTTCCCCACTCAGGTGCAGCCCCTCCACCACACCTGGGGCCCCTCTTGCTGGCTCTGGCGCCCTGGCTGGCTGGTGTTTTCTTTCCCACAGGACTCATGAGGATGTGCGGCCTATGGTAAACAAAGGTCTATTTTTATCGCCTATTGTTTCCTCTCTCGGTGTCCTAGGTCCCCAGCCAAGGTCCACCTCAGCCCTCCCTCCCTGAGCCAGCTGGGACCACAGCTCTGCCCTGCCAGGTGCCAGCAGATCAGCCACCTGCTGTTCCTCAGGGAAGAGACCAGGGCTGCCGGGTGAGCCAGGCCTGGGAGAGCCATTGCCAAGGTGGGCACCGCGGCCGTCTCACTCACCCCGCCCACCCGGGCTCCAGGGGCCCCTCCTGAACAGGCTCCAGCCTAAGAGGAGATCACAGGCTGGGGGCAGCCCCAGGCTCAGCGTTGACATGCATGGGGACAAAATTAAAACGAAAAGAAGGGAAACCAGACTTAGAGTCGGTTTTATTGTTTTGAAATTCTCTTCAGTCTGTACCTGCCCTACTGCCTGGCTCTAGGCAGGCAGTTCGCCGGCAATGTCTGGATTCAGACCCAGGTCTGAGCCCAGAGTGCAGGAGGTCTCTCCCACAAGGGCCATCACACTAGAGGCATTCGGGGGTCTCATCCCAGCTCTGCTGGGCTCTGGGCGAGATGGGAGTGGGGAGTGGGGTGGGTGGGAAGTAGGAGAAGGACCCTCAGGCCTTGGGGTGGGGGCTCGAGGGGCGGGGTTCGGGGCCCCGCAGCTCCCCCGTCCTCCTCCCCTCGGCCCTGAAGCAGAGACGGCTGCAGCGGGAAGGAGCCTCTGACAGATGGTTTTTTTAACCACTTGATCACGATAGAGGATTTAATTTTATCCCCTTCCCTGGCTGGCTCTGAGTCTATTTAGAGTTTCAGCACGAGCCAAGCGAGCGAGGAGGAGGGTCCCTGGAACAGCAGACTCCCACTCCCAGCCTCCTCGAGGCGCCTCCCTGCCAGTGCCAGCCGCGACTAGGTCCACGGGTGGGGGGGGGGACCCCTCACTCCGCAGGCCCAGGAAGATGGAGGGACTCCTGCGGCAGGCAAAGCTGCCTGGCACAGAGAGGTCGGGGAGCAGGAAGCAGCTCCGACTTGGCTTCTGTCGAAGGGTCATCCCATCTCTCATTCTGAGCAAAAAGCACCCAGCAAGCCCCTGACTGGGCCTGGGGCTGCACTCCTCCCCCCCAGGAGCCGAGGGCAAGGCCCTGCTCCGAGTGAGTGGCGAGAAGCAGAGAAGATGGGTTGGGGACACTCTCGTGGGGACTTAATGATGACCGCACGTGCTGACCGCCCACTGTGGGCGGGTCACCCGGCTAAACCTGTCACATGCCTCCTCCCATTCTTGGAAACAGCCTTATGGGAGGCTCTTGTTTTCCTCTTTCTCCCAATAGTTAGATAACTTGGCCCGAGTCACACAGCTGCCAAGCGTCAGACCCAGACCGTGATCCCCGGACGAATGGCTCCCCAGCCCCCAGTTACACAAAGACAAAGATTCGTCCTGAGGCAGAAAACGGTCCATCGGAAGTCAGGAGAGCAGACCGTTGGACCATGGTTTTATAGGGTTCGAAGCACTTTTGTGTAGAGTTTGTTAAAGGTACAATTGTGTTATTATTCCCATTTTACAGATGAGAAAAGTAAGGCCAAGACCTGCCAAGAATAGAGACCACAGTGGGGAGGCAGGGCTGTGGTCTCCAGTTCGAAGCTCTTTTGCTGACCTCCCCTGGGGGCAGGTGTGCATCCAGGCAGGATGGTCAGAGGGCAGCTGCGGACAGGAAGTCATACAAAGTGAAGGAGCAGTGGATTCTAGAAAAACCAGCTCAGCCTGGAGGACGGTTGGGTTCCCATGGGGACCTGGTGGCAGGCCAGCTTCACGTCCGGTCTGGGGGGGCTGCGGCTTCATTCAGGAGGCCAGGGCGGGACCCGGGACCCAGCGCAGGGTTGACCCACCTGAGAAATGTCTGTTAGTCACCTCCTGCAACGGGAGTGGTGGGCTACAGAACAGGGCCCATCCCGGGCTGGTCCTGGGGTCTCAGAGCCGGCCTGGGAGAGGGCGATGGGCACCCCTGTGATTCAGGATTTCTTCCCCACCCCTCCCTGTCTCTTCGTGTCAAAGCTGGAAGCGGCTACACAGAGTGTGGGGTCAGACAGCCGGGGCCCGAGTTCTGGCTGCACCACAGTGACCTTCAGCAAACTCCGTAACCTATTTTCTCTTCTGTGAAGTTACCTACCTACCTCACACGTGACTCAGAGTGTGTGTGTGAAGTGCTGCACACCTGCACACAGGCAGCACCCCATGCACATTTGCTGTGTGAAGACTGGGATGTGGAGACACCTGCACAGCAGGTGTTTGTAAAAACCCACCTCCTTCCACAGCCAAGGCCAAGGCCCAGGGCCAGGAGGTGGAGAGTCTCAGAGGCTCTGGGTCTCCAGTCACCTCCCGGGGCTGTGCAGGTAGGGGGTCTCCCACAGGTGTGCAAACAGGGTGTGTTGCCACCTGCTGCACACTCTGCTCCTTCCCTGGGGACTCGGCAAGAGGCCCAGGCAGGGTGGGGCTCGGCTCGTCAACAGTCGCCAGCTCCCCTGACCTCGGCGCCTGAAGGCCTGGCAGAAACCATCCTTGGGAAACCGGCCCTGAGGGGGCGGTTCCAATGCCAAGGAGGAAAGTGAAGGCAAGTCCCTGGCTCATATCCAGAACACATTTCACCACCCTTATCCTTTGAGGAGGACTTTCTTTAAATTAGGACTAGCAGCCATGGTACCCTCAAGCCCTCTGAAATTTCCTAAACACCCAGCTGTTACCCCAGAAGAGAACGTTCATTAGACAGAGAAGTGTTTCCTAAATACAGCCTCGGAGTCGGTCTGGGCTGATTTTGTCTCCAGGACAGGGAAAGGGGTGGCCAGCTGTGAGCAGCAGGGAGAGGGGCAGGGGAGAGAGAGAGGACCAGCCCAGGAAGGCAGGGCAGATGGGTGGTGACGGGGTCCCCTGGGGCCTCAGAGCTCCCCACCCCACCCTGAACCAGGTGCCCCGAAGGGATCGTTTTTTGGTTTGGCTGCCACAAAGGGCCCTCCCACTCAAAGGCTGGAGCAGCCTGGATTCTCACTGCTGCTCTTCACCTGTGGGGACAGGGCGACGGAGCACTTCATTCATTCTCCGCCGCCCTCCCCCCAGGGCTGGGACACACCTACAAAGCAGGGAGCCGGCCTCTCCGGGCCGACCTGGCCCCCAGCTGTCTCATCCTGCCCGTCTGGGAAGGCAGCTGTGGAGGGCGGCTGCTGTGTGGGCCGAGGGACCGTGAAAGACCCCGCACTGCCCCCAGTGTCCTCTCTCTGCCTGCTGGAGTGTCGTCTTTCTTATGTGGCCAGACTCCCATTACAGACCAGGGGAGTCAGCTCCGGGAGGGCTCCCCTTTCTCAGCCCGTCCCTGCCACTTCGTGCCTCAATCTCCTCATTTGTTAACTGTGCCCACCCCAGGCCTGTGGGGGCTGGGCAGGCAGGACCAGGGCCCACCGGCCCCTCCTGCTGTGCTCAATGGCCCTGCTTAGAAGAGCCGACCAACTCCAAGGTTAACCACCCCACAGTGCCACTCGGAGCCCTGGGGTGGGGGTGGGGGAATTCTATGCCTAACAGGGGCCGTTGATATGTGTGTCTAGGTAACTTCTAGATAACACAGCTGTCTCGTTTTGTCTTTCTTTCAGTAACTGTGAAGTCCTTCCTGGAAAAGGAAGTTCCAGAGAAGGCGGATCAACTCCGTGCGAGAATGAAAGTCTGAAGGTGGAATGTGCTATCAGGTGAGGTAGTGAGTTCCCCAGGGTATTCAAGCAAAGACGGGACAGGCCCTTTTCAGGGATGTTTCAGAGGGGCTCACACATCTGGCCACCTCATGGGCTGCTAGATAACCCCCATGTCTGTCTCGACACTAAGCCTGAATGATGGCAACTGTGTCGTCTGTCACCATATTCCATAAACCCGGTAGCACTTAGCACCCAGTGAAACTCTTGGGAAAGGAAATAGAAGCAGTGAGTCTGTAATTAGGAAAAAAAAAAAAGACTAAAATGGGATGATGAAGTGTGGAAATGAAAAATTCTAGAAAATGCTTCCCAAGCAAAAATTCCTAAAGCAGAAATGACTACAGCTTCCACACTTGGATGGCATCTACGCACCAAAAAATCTTCCGTTTCTGGGACGACGGGAGGGACAGCCATTCTGCCTGGACCTCCGCTGCCAGCGCGCTGAGATCCCACAGGACGCTGGGGTGCGAGCAGCAGGGGAGCGCCCCACGCCTATGGCGTTCTCAGTGTCGGCTCAGGACCGGGGAGGGTGAGGTCACCTGGAGAGGTTGCTGGCCTCAGTCTCATCTAGGATGATATTTGGAATCTCCAGGTCAAAAAGGGGGGTTCGCCTTCCTATAGACCTGTCGGCTGGGCTGGGTAGATCCGGAAATTCTTCCAAACCCCGAGCTCCACTCCGGATCACAGACAATTCGACCAGCAATCTGGCGCCTTTGTGGGCAGGGAGGGGCTCGGCGGTGCAGCCCAGGCGATGTGAGGAAGTTGGCAGATGCCCCCAACTCTGAGGGAGATGACTCGGCTCACACACCAGGCTATTAAAAATCTTTATTGCTAATTTTCTTCTCCAACAGACATAGGTTTTTAGTTGAAATAGGAAACCACAGCCACACTTTCACTTTTCCCCTTCAGAAGATGAGACAGAGTGGGCCACCACTGTTACAAGAGGGGGGCCATGACCTTGACAAGGACAGGCTGGGGCAGAGAACACAGCATGGGCCATGGCACGGACCCTGGACGGGAGCAACAGGTACAAAGAGAGGGGCAGCCAGCGACACTGGCGTCTACACCTGACAACAGACACTGCAACCCGGAGGGAGGGGACCGAGAGACACACCTTTCCCCAGGGGCTCTGCTGGGAGCTCCGCTCGGAGCTGCGGGGCACCGAGCTGAGCGTGAGTGTATTTGTAAGTGTGTGTGCTCACACCTGTACATGTGTGCACACACTGGCCCCTGGGATAAGATGCTCTGAGGCCCCTACTGGGGTCCCCACAGTCCTTGTCCCCTGGGGACCAACAGCCTTTGAAGTTAACAGTCAGCCACCAGGGCCAGGGGACTGTACACGGAGGAGCATGGGACACGGGGTCCAGGCCCCCACACTCGAGTCCTCCTTCTGGGTGAGTTTCAGCACAGTGTGACCCTCCCATGGACCACAGGGCTCTCCAGGGATCACACCTGGGGCATTGTGACAGTCAGCCCCTGTGCTCTGCAGAGGCCGGAGACTGGAGAAGGGGCGTGTTTAGCTCTGAGAGTCTTCTCTTGCTTCTGGGTCCTGAGGGCAGGAATGGGCATCTGCCTGGGGCGGTGGGGGGGGGGGGGGGGCGAAGGCTTCCCTCTCTGAGGCCAGCATCTCCCTCTGCCTTGGCACCCAGATGCCACCCCTGTGAGAGATGAGGGAGAAGGGTGGCTGCCCCCCCGGGGGAGGGAGGGCAGGTAGGAAGACTTGGGGTGCCCGCAGCCATTCAAAGACAGGGCTCTGCAAGGTGTTTCTCAGGCTGGGCTGGAATGCCAGCCTGGTAGGCCTGGCTCAAGGAAGCGCTCTGTAGATGAACACTGTCGCTGTCCCTTCCGGGCTGACGTGGAGAGACCCTTTGGAGGGCAGAGCAGCGGGAGGTTCAGGCCCCGATGAGAGAGCCCATGTGCTGGCCGGGACCTGCAGTCCCAGTAGCAGATGCCTCTGGAGCCTTGCTGGGGGGTAGGAGGGTGGCATTTGGGGTCAAAGCACTCGCTGGCTTTGTGAGCCCAGCTGGGGTCTGTGGGTGGGTGGGTTCCGGACCCCTTGGCAGAGACCTGTGCTACATGGTGGGGTATTGCAGCTGGGGGAGCAGCTCCTACCCTGTGCAGGAGGAGCAGCCCCCAGACAAGGCCTCGGGAAGTGGGATACAGCAGGAACGGCGACAGAGCAGAGCTGCCCAGCGCCGTTCGCCTCGGCTCAGCACGGGCGGGCTGGAGGGGCAGTTCCATCCCGGCCAGGGAAGCTGGCTGGCTGCCGGCTCCTGGAAGTGATGCATATAAATCCCGGCTAACAGTTGGTCACCTCTAAGCCCCAGACCGCTCCTTCACAACCACGCAGATCTCCTGGGGGCCCCGTTTTCCAGCTATGCATCCTGCTCGGGGTCCTCGAGGCCCCCTTGCTGGCAGACCCAGGTGTGGCCATTAACGCAAACGCACTGTCCAGGTGGACCCGGCCGCAGAGGCCATGGCAACGGGCGGGGGGGGTCATGGGTGAGCCGATGGGAAACCAAACACCTACCGAAAGCCAATCGAATGCAAACACAAAACATGTAAAAGCAGCAAGCTCTGTGTAATAAATATTGCAAAGCGCACTTGGTTTCTTTCTTTTTTTTCCAAGTCAAATATAACAACCAATGTCCCAAACCCTGTTTTCAGCATTCGAAAGAGAGAAGCTGGTGCCATCAGCAGAACACCTGCAGCCAATCAAAGAAAAACACTGTTTCCCATCAGCCAGCCAATCCGACATCTTCACGCTCCCAAAAAGTGACCCAAATAAAGCACCGGAGCTCAGAGAGCTTCTTGGGAAGCCATATACCGAAGAGCAAATTAAAAAAAAAAAAAGAGTCAGAAATAAAAATAAAAGGTTTCCGTTGGTCAAGATTTAAAAATAAAAGGGTTTCTTCCTGAAGCCAATCGTGAGTCCGTCCCTTTAAGCCAATGAGAGCCACACCACTGGAGTTTTCCTCCATGCGGCCCTGCTGAGTGGCCGTGGGGCGGGGTGGGTGGGGTGCCGAGGGTGGGGAAGGTGACCTGCTTGCTGCCGCTCAGCTGGACGAGGTCCACGCAGATCTCTTGGCCCTTGCCAGCTTTCAGGGTGTTCCAAGGGGTCCGTCGCTACTGCCTCCGGTCCTCTGTCTCCGACCTGGAAAACGCCATCACCACGTCTTCTGCGCCTGCAGACCAGGGGAAGAGGCTTGCTGGGCGGGGCCCTGACACCCGGCTGCAGCCCGGGACCAGGCCAGGAGGCCTGGCCCTCAGGGGCAGCGGCAGTCCACCCTCCCCAGCGCAAAGTGTTTCTGAGGAAGCCCACCTCCGCTCCAGGCCTTCCTCGCAGCCTGGCCAGGGGGTGTGCCAGCCAACCCTCCTGCAGGGCTATGGGGCCGTGGGCCGGGGTGAGGCTCAGGCCTGCTTAAAGCCACACGGCTAAGAAAGAGTGGGAGAACCAGGGCTGCTGGCCTGGAGCGAGGCCCTGCTCGGACCCCCTGCTCCAAAACCACCAAAGCCAGGGACCCTTCGGAGCCATTTCTCTTTGCCAAACCCGACACCTGTTCCCAGGAGCACAGCCAGGCCTGTCTCCGGCCCACAGTCGGCCTGGCTCCCGTGGAGACAGATAATGGCCATAATCTTTATGACTCTTGTAGATTTGAGGATCTGGTCCAGGCACTCATGAAATCACTTCCTTTGTCCTGTTTTCCATTGGACAGGTTCTGACATGCAGCCAGAAAAGCAAAAGTGGGGAGGGAAAGTGCTGGAAATATTGACCTGAGCCTGAGGCTCAGACCCTGCAGGGCAGGTGAGGTAACCGGTGGTCCTCCTTCACCTCCTGGGCCCTGGCCCTCTGAGTCCTGCCACTTTCTCCCCTCTTTCCAAAGGACAGTCAGGTGCCCGTGGCCTTTCGGATATGCTTGTCCTCTGTACTAACTGGAGGAATTCTCCAGGGAGGGGCGGATTGGAGCAGCAGACACGGAAAGGCCACCTAAGGGCCAGCCAGTGTGGGAGGTGCACGGCGGAGCTTTTGGCCTGAGAAACGGAGTCGAGAGCACGACGGACTCCACCCCCAGGCACGGCACTGGCCGCTTCGTCCACGCCGCATGCAGGGCACTCTTGCCCTCACACTGGCAGTCCCCTACGGACCCCCTTCCTGCCTGTCCTGCCTCGTGGACAGTGGAGGGGGTGCCCCGCCACAGGTGCGGCAGAAGGAGGGTCTGTCCACAAGGGTGGAACATGGTAGACAAGTGCCTTCGGTTCGGCACCAGAGCACAAGGCGCGGTAACCACCCCCCCCTGCCTCGACGGGGTTCTGAGCAGCTCACTCTGGACAGGGGAACAGGGTTCTGGGAAGGAGCTCTGAGGGCCCGACTCCTGGGGATGGGGCTCCTTCGCTCGGGAAGCCCTGCAAACCCTTCCTGTGTCTTCTCGGGAATGTTCTATTCTCGCCTCAGTCCCTCCGCCCCAGGACCACGCAATATGACTGCAGGCAGAATTTTCCTAGCAACCGCCGCATCCAGGATTACATCATACCCTGCACGGCAGCCGAGCTGGTTACCCAACAGATGCTGGCTTTTCCCTGGTGAAGTCTCCCCAGCGCGCCAACCAGTGGGGGGGCGGGAGGGAGACGCCTGGGCTGCAATGAGCAGTGGCGCCCACTCGCCTCTTTCCTGGCCTGTCTTGGGGGCTTTCTCCCAGGCACTGGGGCCTCTGTCCTGAGCTGCAGTCACAGAAAGGGCACTGGCGGCCCCCGGGGGGAATGGACAGTCGGCAGAGGGGAGGGCCCCTGGCTTCCTGGACCCAGCCCGGGCCCACAGCTTCCCGGTGTGTGCATCCAGGCCACACCCTGAGAGTTGGGGAAGGAAGTAACCGCCTCAAGGTCACCCAGGGAGTCTGGTGACCATTTAACAAGACACCTGAGGCAGAGGACTTGCCAGAGTCCAGCCTGTGCCACACTGCCAGCTGGTGGCTCCATCCCCGGCCAGGGTGGGGAAGGCTGGGAACCCACGGCTCTCATTTATAGAGCCGCCCACCCTGCAGCGGGAGCCGTGTGTGGAAAGGGCCCACAGAGCTGCTGCCCGTTCTGGACCCAGTTCTGTCCTTAAAGGGCCCTGCTGATTTCCAGGCCTCCACACAGGGATCTGCTTTCCTTTGGGGCCCAAGAGCAGGGAGGCTCTTCCAGAGCATTCCCTGACCTAGCCTCAGCACCGGCGCCGACACCCATCCTTCCCCACCGGTCTGGCCATGACCCCGGCCGGCCTCTAGGTGTGGACACCCCTTGCCTCTCCTTTTCTCCAACGCATCTGGGCTGGTCACCCCCGGGGGCTGAGCCGCTCTGCCAGTCATCCTGAGTCAAACTGCTGGGGCTGAGAGCCGGGAGGGGCCTCAGAGGGTAGCTGCCGCAGTCCCTCCTTGTCCTTTAGAGGCCAGCATGTGGTGTCCCCCTTGGGTGCCCTCACTGTCATGGAATCGTGGGGCTCAGAACAGGAGGACACTGCACAGAGGCCAGCAGGCCTGGCCCTCTCCTCCAGGCAGCCAGCTAGGTTTCCTCCCCCACGTCACAGCGAGGCCGGGCGCCCCCACGAGTCCTCCCACGAGTCCTCCCGTGCCCACTGTCTGGACCTGGCCCAGAGCTTCTGCCCGCCCACCCCCCTGGACCTGGGTGAGTCCAGGAGCAGGGAATCTGGTCCGTCTGTCTCTCCTGCCCATGCTCACTAACACAGCAGAAGACAAAAGTAGCCAGAACCTGACAAATACATCACAAGGGAAAAAACCACATAGATGCTCATGGTACCTATGGCATGCAAAAATACAGAAAAAAGTACTAGCAAGCTGGAAAAAGCAACACATAGAAATCATTACATACTCTGACCAATGAGATGTATCCCAGGAATGCAAGGTTGGTTTAACATCAGAAAATCAATTAAAGAATTAGAAAAAGGGACAAAAAACATTTAATCATCCAAAAAGACACAGAAAACACATCTGACAAAATTCAACACCTCTCCATGGTCAGAACCTCCAACAGCCCTGGCTGGTGTAGCTCAGTGGACTGAGTGCTGACCTATGAACCTAAGGATCCCGGTTCGATTCCCAGTCAGGGCAGATGCCTGGGTTGCAGGCCAGCTCCCAGCAGGGGGCACACAAGAGACAACCACACATTGATATTTCTCTCCCTCTCTCCTTCCCTTCTCCTCTACAGAGAAATTTAAAATTCTTTTTAAAAGAAAGAAAAAAACCCTTTGTTTAAAAAAAAAAACAAACCCTCCAATACACCAGGAGTAGAAGGAACTTAGAAGGAACTTCTGCAGCCTGGGAAAGGGCATTCACCAGAAACCACAGCTGTTATCACACTTAATGACGAGAGACTGGGTGCTCTTCCCCCTCAAGGTCAGGAGGAAGAGGAGGAAGTCTGAGATCTCACGTTTCCACTCAATGTTGTGTTGAAAGTTCTATCCGGGGCAATCCAGCAAGGAAAAGAAATAAAAGGCACGCAAATTGGAAAAGAAGAAGTAAAACTACATTTGTAGATGACCCGGATCTCACATATAAAAAACCCTAAGGAACCCAATTAAAAAAAATTATTAGAACTAACACACAAGTTAAAGTTACATGGTATAGGATCAATATACAAAATTATTTGTATTTCTATACACTACCAATGAATACTCTGACAATAAACTTAGAAAAACAATTTTCGAACCAGACAATCGAGGTTCGATTCCCAGTCAGGACACATACCAGGGTTGCAGGCCGGTTCCCTGCAGGCCAGTACCCAGCAGGGGACGCATGAAAGGCAACCATACATTGATGTTTCTCTCCCTCTCTCCTTCCCTTCCCCTCTAAAGATAAATAAATAAAATCTTAAACAAAAAAACAAAAAAACAACAACAAAAAAAACAATTTCACTTACCATAGCATCAAAATTAATAAATTTAGTAAAAATAAATTTAACCAATGTACAAAATTTGTACTCTAAAATATATAAAACATCATTGCTCAAAACATTGCTGAAAAAATTCAAAACAGCCCTGGCTGGTGTAGCTCAGTAGACTGAGCACAGGCCTGTGCAGCAAAGGGTTGCCTGTTCGATTCCCAGTCAGGGCACATGCCTGGGTTGCAGGCCAGTTCCCAGTGGGGGGGCGTGTGAGAGGCAACCACACATTGATGTTTCTCTCCCACTCTTTCTCCTTCCCTTCACCTCTTTCTAAAAACTAAATATATATATATATATATATATATATATATATATATATATATATATATATTTTTAAAAGAGTAAAAAAAAATTCAAACAATTCCTATCAAAATCTCAGCTCCCCTTTTTTTGTTTTCAAAAATTGACAAGCTGTTCTTAAAATTCATATGAAGATACTAGAATCCAGAATTGTCAAAACAACCATGAGAAAGGACAAAGTTGGATTCACACTTTCGGGGTTTAAAACTCACCACAAAGCCCTGACTGGTCTGGCTCAGTGCGCCGGGCGTCCCCCTGCAAACCCAGAGATCGCCAGGTGATTCCCACGCGGGGCCCACACCTGGGTTGCAGGCCGGGTTACAGGTGAGAGCCCATGCGAGGGGCAACTGGTCGCTGTCTCTCTCCCTCTATCACTCCCATCATTTCCCTCTCTCTAAAACGAACGAAATAAAATCTTTAGAAAACTTACTGTGAAGCTGCGGTAAACAAGACCGAGCGGCATAAGGACATGAGGACAGACGCGCAGATGGACGGAACAGAACTGAGAGATCAGAAGTGGCCCCTCCTATTCATGCCGGTCAAGTTCTCACAGGGGTGCCATGGTGACTCGGCGGGAAAGAAGTGGACAAATGGTGCTGGAATAACTGGACATCCACATGCACAGGAGGAAACTGGGCCCTCGACTCGCGCCACATTAAAAGGTTAACCGAAAATGCCCCGGCAACCTACACACGCGGGCTAGTGTTACAACACCCTTGAAAAGAACATAGGAGTGAATCTCCGTGACCTTGGGTCAGGGAGGGGTTGCTTAGACACAATACTCAAAGCAAAGCCAGATAAAGTAGAAAGCCAGATAATTTGGGCTTCATCCAAGTTAGAAACTTCTTGTGCTTTAAAGGGAACTATAAAAAGAGTGGAAAGAGTGGAGCGGGAGGAAGTGTGTGCAATGCGTACATCTGGTGAGGGGCTGGTGTCTGAAATTTTAAAT